AGCCTATATATTTTATGGAAGTTCTGGTGGTGCAGTGCCTAAGGCATATTTGACTGCTAACCAGAAGGCTGGCGGTTCAAACCCACCAGCCACTCCTTAGAAGGAAGACTGGGCAATGTACTTCTGTAGAGATACCACCTCAGAAACCCAAGGAGGGGTCGGTATGAGTCGGACTCGATTTGATGGCAGTGAGAGCTTTTTTTTTTTTAATGTATTTTATGTAATGAAACAAAATGCACATCAAATACATGGTGCAGTGGCACAAGAATAAATATGGGACCTTCAAGGAAGACTGAGCGAAGGACATGCTCAGCATTTCTCAAGCTGAAAGATCAAGCCTAAAGTTGAAATACTGAAGAATTCTATAGGCAAAATATTGAACAATGCAGGAAGTATCAAAAGAAGATGGAAGACATACACAGAATTACTGTATCAACAAGAACTGGTCAATGTCAATGTCCAACTATTCCAGGAGGTAGCATATGATCAAGAACCAATGGTACTGAAGAAAGAAGTCCAAGGTGCACTGAGGGAACTGGCAAGAAACAAGGCTCCAAGAACTGACGAAATACCCATTGAGATGTTTCAACCAATGCAGCAAGGGAGGCACTGACTTGTTTACGCCAAAAAACTTGGAAGACAGCTACCTGGCCAACCGACTGGAAGAGATTGATATTTGTGCCCAATCCAAAGAAAGTTGATCCAATAGAATGTGGAAATTACAGAATATCATTTATATCACACACAAGTGAAATCTTACTGATGATAATTCAAAAATGGTTGCAGCAGTACACTGACAGGAAACTGTCAGAAATTCAAGCTGGATTCAGGAAAGAATGTGGAATGAGGGATAACACTGCTGATATTAGATGGATCTTGGCTGAAAGCAAAGAATACCAGAAAGACGTTTACCTGTTTTATTGCCTATGCAATAACAAATTATGGTTAACATTGTGAACCAAATTGTGAAGAATGGGAATTCCAGAACACTTAATTGTGCTCGTGAGGAATGTGTACACAAACTAGGAGGCTGTCATTCAAACAGGACAAGGTGATATCGCATGGTTTAAAATCAGAAAGGTGTGCATCAGGGTTATATCCTCTTACTACACTTATTCAATCTACATGCTGAGCAAATAATCTGAGAAGCTGGACTATATGAAGAAGAACGTGGCATCAAGATTGGAGGAACATTCGTTAACAATATGCAGATGAGAGAACCTTGCTTGCTGAAAGCAAAAAGGACTTGCAGTATTTACTGATGAAGATCAAAGACTATACCCTGCAGTATGGATTATTACACTTCAACATAAAGAAAACAAAAATCTTCACAAGTAGACCAATAAGCAACATCATGATAAATGGAGAAAAGACTGAAGTTGTCAGGGATTTTATTTTACTTGGATTCACAATTAACACCCATGGAAGCAGCAGTCAAGAAACCAGACGTTGCA